GCCCGCTGCCGTGGCCTAGGTTTCTCACTGAAAATCCTCGTCCCCCGGCGGCACCTTTTTTTTGAATTTTCTTCCTTTTCAACGGCGTTTTTTGGGAATTTCGGATTTTTTTTGAATTTTTTCGCAATAATATTCGGAAAATAGATAACTTTTAACACATTTTAATGCAATAAAAATTTTTGGTCGGAGTCCCCCTTTAATGTAATTCAATACATGAAAGTTATAGCACTTTTTGCTTAGACTTCTAATCTTTATTAAATTATTTCCAGGCCACTAAATTGGCATTGATCAACTACGTGAAAAGGCTTGAAAAAACCTCTAATATTGAAATTGTACCAAAGCACTTGGAAAACCCGTGGAGCTATAACATATTCAACAAGTTGTGCCGTCTCATCGTAAAGAAAATCGTAAAGAAAGATCGTGATCAGGCTAAAGATATTATATGTGGATGGGAAGCAGCTTATAAGTAAGATATAATCACTGATTTGGAGATTTTTACTTGTTTTTAGATTCCACGTTAAAGGTTGGACCCAAAATGACCTTTCTGTTGAGGATGTGAAATTTTTACTTCCTTTTGTTTTTCGGTAAGTCAAAGATTTGTTTATTTGGATTATTATTTTTAGATTCATCGACATTGTTGTTGAGGAGCTGAACCTCAATAATGAAATGGTCACCTATGTTCAAGATAACTTGTTCACTATTAATATCAATGAAATTGCAGCCGAAATCTATGAGGTTATTATTAAAACAAAATATATTAGTTTATAATTTATATATTTATAGGAGTCAAACAGAGGTAAAATCACTCAGCTCCTACAAAATTTAAAGATGAGAAAAGACTTGGTAAATTTTATTTCTTTTTATTCAATTTAAACAACTAAATTTTAGCTCGTGAAACTGAATGTATTATATAAGAGCAAATATGGTGAAGATCTTGCCGATGTTCTATTCAGAAGCAAAGATGAATTAAAAAAATTTCTTGGTATTAAAGTTATGTTGTGAATAAATGTATTGATAATATAAATTTGGATCGAAATCATCTATCTAATCAAGTCCAAATTTACAATTCCTACTTCTCTTGATAGTATCTTTTCCGGTAAAGTGTCTCGCATGAAAACACCGCGGAAGTTCTTGATTTCCAAAAGTTCTACCAATTCTAGTAGATCTAGATTTGTCAGAGGTTTCAAATTTTTTTCTAGCTTCACCATTTATTGAACATTAATTTTATTAAAAAAATGACGATACCACTTTTTCAATAAAATCGACATCCATCGACATCCACTGATTTTCTAAAAAGTGAGGAAGTGATACATTTTCGAGCATTTAAGCATGAAAATGAGAAATAGAAAATAAAATCAACATCCAAGCAAAAAATTGATCGAAAATGCAGAAAAATTATTGAAAATAAGCACTTTTTAGTGCTCCAAAAATTGACTCATTTCACACTTTTTACGAAAAAAGTGTTGTAAATGAGGTAATTCTCTGACTGCAGAGAATGAAAATGTGTTGAAATGACTGAAATGTCGAAAACGGTATTATAATCCCTTGTTCCTATACTACTATTCCGATACTAGAAAACTGCAAATCAGAGATCTTCTTTTTACATTTTACAATGAAAAAATGCAGAGTTGAGTAAATTTGCCGATGCCATCATAGTTGCAGTGGTGAGTCGAAAAATTTCATCCATAACGGAGTAGTTTGTCTAGTGTTTCAGATGTGGAGTTCCACAATTTGTAGACAGTCAACAACTGAAAACAAAATGAAGGAAGTCAAAATGTGACAATGGGAAAGGAATCAAGAAATCAGGATGGGAACGAATAATTGAGAAGAAAAACATGAAAAGAAGACTTTTGATAACTGAATGAGGGGTTTGCAAAGTTCGCTGATCATGGATTTGTTCGAACGCTAATTTCTTTCAAACCTTGAAAAAATCTAGAACCTAAAAACATTGTAAGAATATTGAGATATGCTAAATTCTGATAATTGCATACTTCTAAACCCTGGTGGTCTTTCGCGATCATAGTTTTTTTAAATCAATATTTTTGTACCACCTACATCAGATTTTCAATGAGTACTACAAAATTATATTTTGTAGCAAACTGTACCTTGTCTATGAACAACGTTACAGACCCGGACCAACCACTTTATGATGTACAACTTCGCTCATAAAAAGATACAGTTTTCCAAATTGTATCGTTTTGTAATACTTGTTGAGTTTTATCATATCAATTCTAGTTGTATAATGCTTCTAGTTGTAATAATGCTTCTGAAAGAAACTAGGTCAGGACCTGCCAGGGCACGTTTTATGTCCGTTTTCAAGTATTCTAAGACCCAAGAATAACGAAATTCTTCAAATTCCTTGAATTCCTTATATAAGCGCAGTCCTTAAAAACCTAAATGTGAAAAGAAATACATTGTCGCTCAATAAGTACAAATAGTTATACAAAAACATATTTGGGTCAGTTGGTTTTGTCCCGTTTTGCCCCGTTTTGATTTTCAGGAGTCTGGTGCTCGACTGTAAAGTTTTTGATCACTTTGAAGCTTTTGGACAGTTTAAAGCATGCCTAGATTGAAAACTTTGCATCCGCAGAATTTTTTGAAAATTCCTTGTTTTTCAGCTTTTTACTGAGTTCTGAAAGGCACTTGTTTTTTGAGGTTTTCAGTACAAAATAGGGCCAAACAGGGGTTCCTTTTAAAAAATCGGCAAATATGTAGCTGATAATCTGGGAATTCTCAAAAAAAATTCTGTTAATGCGAAGATTCCACGTTTTCCACTCTCCAGAATTTTCAAAGTGATTGGAAGCTAGACAGCCGAGCTCCAGACTTCTGAAAATCGTCAAAATGGCCGAAAATCAAATGAAAATATGTTTTTGCATATCTTAATGACCGGTACAGTGTTTTGTTTGTAATAATAAAATAGTGTTTTTTATAAAGTGATAGCTGTGCGAAATAGAAATTCTCTTTCCTCTACGCTCCAAGAGAATATGTTTTTCTGTCCATTCTCTTGGGGATGCAGGCATCCTTGGGCTCTCGGCACATCCTTGATGTATCGTTGTAGACCTGCCAGCGATCTCCATCTCCCTCTTGCTTGAATCTCCTCCATTGAATATCCTGTCGCCCTCATGTGATTCGCTCCTCCTCTCCGGAAAGCGTGATGGGTGGCTCCAGATTTCCCAATTGCCGCCAGCATCTTAGTGGCTAGTGCAGAGATCGACGATTTCGTCAGTTTCTTTGAGCCATCAAGATTCGAGAAAACGTACGGGCACTTTTCTCTTGAGTGAATCCTCCATCTACACATGAGAATATCCGCGTCACTTCCTGGATCATAGTTGAAGAACGATGATCGTTCTAGTCTCAACTGGTCATTCTTGGCCTTCTCCACGTGTACCTCAATCATCCCATCTTTTTGCGTCACTCCTTCCCACTTGATCTCGGCGGCTTCCGAAGCTCTCAGCATGACGTGAAAGGAAAAGATTGCTTCCTTCCTCTTTGACTTGATTACGTCCGAAACGAAAGTTGCTCCGATGGCCGAAATTACTTGGTTTGCAGCTTGATGTGCAGCCGATATCTTCGACAGCGCGCTGCTTCCAATTCCTTTCTCTTGATCGACCAAATACAACAAAGAGGAAGACTCATTCAACGGAAGTCTCTTCTCAATTATCCAATCCTTCCTCCTCTTGTTCTCTGCTTTATAAGACAGAGCAGTGGACGAGGCCTTAGATTCCAGTGGAGCCGCTTTGAGCTTGTCCAGGTGCGTCTGGAATTCTTTCCCTGCTTGTCTCTCGATCTCTTCGATGTAGTCCTTTTTGGGGCCTTCTGAAAATTAGTTTATAAACTCTTTTGCCCTTCTTTATTCCTCTTCCCCGGGCGGGCGGGCTGGGACCCTCGTTAAAATTACGTAGAATGGTTTGAAAACTCCGTTTTCACGCCCGGCGGTCGTGATCGTTGCGAGACCATAAGCCGCCGAAAGTCTATGCGCCTTTAACTCTCGCGCGCCTCTTTCTCCGTTCTTCAACGAAAAACATAATATTCCGTGATTTGTTTAAATGTCCAGTTTTCTGAACTCATGGAGAAACCACAACAAGTAAGATAAACAAGTCAATCTAGTTTTCTTTTTCCAGCTCGTACTAAATGCAAACTTTCCCTTTTTACTCAAATCGACACACTAATACTACAAGAATTAATCAGATTTCGCGGACAAAACGAATGAATCCAATAAATGCGCAAAAGTATGAAAGAAAATGAAATGCATATTTATTGTTCTTGACGAATACCTCAACGAAAAAATGAACGACGATATCGTCATAAAACACGTTGTGTTGTCTGAGGATGAATGAAAAGAGGTGGAGAGAGAGTTTCAAGACAATACAACTATACAGTACGTCCGGTAGCGAAAATGGATACAAAAGAGTGAACAAAACGATCAGTCGCGCGCGGAAAGCAGAAGAAGAAACTCTTCTCCTGAAAGATGCTTCTTTTACTTCTGAAAGTCTACTTTCTATTCTCGATCTGCATTCCAACCATTTACGCACGTATGTTTTTTTTCTTAATTTATGGCTAAGGCTAAGAATTCTGAGAATCTGCTCATGAAACAAGAAACTGATAAAACTTGAGTGATCGAAAATCTGGAAAATTACTGGCTTTCTTACATGGTTACTATCGAAACTGAAATATCGAATGAAAGAAAAATTATTTGAAAAACTGTACTAATTCAAAGTTTGGATTGGAAAAACATTATATAATTTTATGAAAGATCATTGTGCAGATCGTAGTTATTTTGATTATCTTAGCTAGTGTACAAGAAATGCAAAAAAAGTCGGTCAAAAAAAATTCCTGTGATTTTATGAGAATTTTTTTCCGAATTGAGTTCCAAGAACTGAGAAAATTGAGTTAGAATGCCGAAATGAAAACGAAAAAAAAAGCTCTCCAGCGAATCCAACATTTGGTTATTTTTGTGAAAATATTCAAAAAGTTCCTGGAGTATGTGCAACTTTTTGTTTTCGTTGAGCAACTCCTGGAAAATGTTTATTGATTCATAGAGATACCTTTTTCAAATACAATTATTTTGTGCTACTGGTTGAGTTCTATCGCATCTATTTTGTTGATCAAAAAATCGCGGCTCTAAATAAACAATGGCAGGGCTCGCGAAGACCCGCCAGGAGCCCGTTTTACAAGTATAGCCATACTTAGGTCGCCATTCTAACTCTAGTTTTCTTGGTACATAAAAAACATATTGAACATTTTCAATTGAAAAAATGTGGTCATGATTTAGTGCTGCTCATTTGCCTAGTGCAGCTAGTTTTTTTTTAAACTGGTTTTAAATGGATCCATTTCAAAAATTATCAAAAAAAATAGTCATCAGTGTCAAAAGTCTGTTGTTTTCCAGAATTCTACAGAGGAGAACTTGAACCACGGTACAGTAGGAAAACTCCATTCAGACAACAAACAGACATTCCGGATCCAGTTTTTGGAATAGGACATGGAATTCGAAGGTATTGTTGAGTCATTTTCTTTTGATGATGATGATAGTTATAACACATTCAAAGTCTGGGAACTCATTGAATTTCAGGTTCAGTGGAGACAAATCATCACGCGAGGAGCAGCCGCTAAGTCCTTTTTTTGGGGAACCAAGAGAGCCAGGAAGACGAAATTCTGGAAGGGAGGATGGACGAGATTACGAGGAGAATGGTGAAGATGAGAGTCGATTTGGGAGAAGCAGAAGACCATTTGGTTTTGGACGACATGGACCTCCAGATGATCAAGAAGGGAGGGATGGTCCCTTTCAGAGAGGAAATCATGATTTCAGCCGGCCGAATCTCCCAGATCCGTCAGTTGTTAAGGAACGATTTGATAAAGAGAGAAATGGAAAGAATCAGAGAAGCGAAGAAGATGGCGAAGAGGAGAATCATCAGAAGCCGACAAGCAGAAGGGAAAGGCCAGAAGAAGAAGATGGTCATCACAAAGGTAAGTTCACAAAGCTTTCAGCTCTAAAAATGTATTAATTTAGTTGAAGAGGAAGAAGAAGAAGAGCGTCGTCCCAGAAGACCGCCACCAAGAAACAAAGAAAATTATGAAGATGAAGAAGAAGAAGGTCGTGGGAGAAATTACAGACCTCGTCATGAAGATTCCGATCGTCCACGCCAACACTATCGCGGCCGCGAACCGGACTCGGAAACTGAAAATATTGCCGAAACGCCTTCGAAAGTGGTCGGTCTGAACATGCAGATGGTAGCTGGAGTATATCCGAAAGAAAAGAAAGGACCAGTAGTTGAGGATGTGGACAAAAGAGGAGGACGATTCGTGGATAAGCCCGACGAAAAAGAGCAACAAAAGTTTTTTCGGGGTTCCGAGCCAGACGAAGACGAGGATCGGTCTGAGCAGCATAGGAAGGGAGGGAGAGAACAAAAGCACAAAGAGCCAAGAGATAGACGACCAGCTAGAGGAGATTCTGGAGAATCTGAGAAAGGAAGCCGAGGAGAAAAGTTTGAAGATAGGGATGGACGGCAAGGAAATCAAGAAGGAAGAGACGAAAAAAGACGTGACGGAAGACAAGAAGAATCCGGTGAAAAGCCAGGTCGAGAAGAGCAAAGAGGACCACAAGGACCCCCTCCCCAACAAGCTCCACCACCTCCCAAGCCCCAAATCCCTCCGTTCCCTGCTTTCCCCAAGTTCCCATGTAAGTTGAAATGAGTTTTAATTAAGCAAAAATTCAAATTTTCAGCATTCGGAGGATTCAAACCTTTCCAACCAGACTTCCCAACTCGATCATTCGGTGGTAATGGCGGTTTTGCGGGTGGTCCTTGGAACGAATCTGGAAGACCTTCCGGACGCAAAACAACGTCTGGAGAAGACGTTGGCTCGAGTGAAGACCGATCTGGCCAGGACGGACGACGTGTTCACCAACAAAACACACCTTCTGCTTCATCCGACAATTCGGGTTCCCATGATGGCACTGCCGAACGGAGACATTCCACCAGCGATAACAGCAAGGAAAATGAGAGAGGAAGAAAAGAAGGAGAACATGAAAATGAAGGACAAGATCGTACCGGACAAAGAGATGAGCATAGAGAAGAGAATCGAGAAGAAGTCCCGGAAAAAGTAAGTCAGGGAAATCCACCACCACAAGGCCCACCATCAGCACGAAAGGAATTCCCGACTCCAGGAAGATTTGTAACCAACATTCGAGCGAAGAAATCAGGAGAGATTCTAGATGCAACGACTGCTCCTTCAACAACATCCACAACATCTAGTGCTATCACATTTCCAGTAATTTCCACGACAACACTTCCTTCAACTGGAATCATGCTACCAACAGAAGCAATTGTTACCAAACTCCGATCCATTGTAAATCAAAGAATTAAAGTTGTGTAATTTCCCAAAATATTTCGATATTATTTTGAACTGATCTCTATTTTTCAGTTCAACCTCTAAATCAACTCTATTTATATATTCTTGTATATTACTGTACTTCTTAAAGTTTGCAAATAAAGAAACTGTTGAGATCATTACAAGAATGCAAGCACAACGAAAGCGAAAAAAAAAGAAAAAGTAATTCCGGAATGTTTTGCAATTGGAGAAAAATTGATCTCCGAAATGAAATTTTGTTTTTTATCGTTCTCAATTAACTTCTTTCATCTGAAAATCCATAGAGACCAATGCCTTGCTTCCTTCTGGCTACTCATCCGTAATACACAAACCACTAAATAAAAGTACATATCGTTGGTGGTTAATGTTGTATATCACTTGTTGTAGTACACATAAATAAACCATATGCTTTTGTACTTCTAGTTAGTTACTGTCCTACAACAAAAAATGGGCGGAGATTAGAAAAAAAGAAGTGGTAGAAGGAGGAAGAAGAAGAAGAAGAAGCTGTGGGAAAACGGACAGTAGAAGAAGAATTCGAAGTGACGAAGGTTTGACATGCCTATTCCCACTGCATATATCCTTTTTTATTTACTGGTACTGGTGATGACTTCAATTGGTGAGTGTCCTTGAAATGCTTTTTCTTTGAAAAACGATTGTGATAAAAATAGGAATGTATTGTTTTCCGTATTTTCAGTAAGCGAGTTCCTGGAAAACGAACTCTATTTTCACAGGAAAAATTGGATTTAATTTGAAAAAAGTACAACCAGCAGTGATTTCATGGAAAAATAACAATGTTTTTTCTTTCTAAAATTCAATCAAAAATGATATTTCGGTTGTAACCAAAACTTAAAAACTTCAAAGATCAAAACTGAGTTATCATGCTTGTCTAAAAAAACCGATCCTGTAGAGAAGAAAAACGCCAGTGGCAGTGGCGGAAGGTCCCACAACGACAACTACCGTTACCTGAAAAATTATTTTTTCTCGATTACTATTGCTTTTCGTTGATTTTTCTGATGTTTTCCCCAAGGAAGTTGGAAAATGATCATTTTTAATTGTGAATAAATTGACTGAAAACGCACAAAAATCGAAGTAAAAATCTGGAAAATAAACATATTTTTAGGTTACGGTAGTTGTTGTTGTGGAACCGGCGTTTCTCTTCCACAGTTCCGATTTTTTGTATCAGAATAATTTTTCGGTTGGAATCAATAATTCAAACTTCTAAAATACAAATTGAGTTCGTACCTCATTTGAATACTGTTCAAACCTGTCAAATAAAAAAATGGACCTAATTTTTGTTTTTGAAACTACTGCAAATTGGCTTTCAAATCAAGCTGATCCTTTTTTTTCTCATTTCAAGATTGTCGAGCATTTGGTCAACGAGTTGAATACCAATATGAATTCGACCCAAAAAGAGATATTCATCCGAGAGTTCATGTGAAATTCGGTAAGAATTCCAAAATCTCTATTTTTCTTTGACCCAAATATTCAGATGACGTTACCGATGAAACCGAATTGATGCGAATTTTCAATCATCGAAAGTCATCAGAAGTACGCAAATCACCGTCGCGTTATGAGGTTCAATCTTTATTCTTTTTCTATTACGGTACCATTGTTTTTTTTGTTACAGCACACCCCATCGACTTCTCCTTTCTTCGAAGATAACGACCGTTTTATGGTACCTTTCGAGGAAATGGATCGCGGGAATCGAGATGCTGGGTAAGTGGGTACAAGAAAGAAAATATATTAAAAAGGAACAAAAAGTTTCAGATGGCGGAACGTTCCATTTGCGGAGAATCGGCAATGGCATCGAGAATTCTTGAACCTTCCTATTCATAAGTTCGTTCAACCCGATTCCCAGGATGATCTTGCTGAACAGATGGCCTCGTTCCTTCGACGTCAATCTGAATCCATTTTATCCAGACACTTCCCAACAGTTCCACTTCATCACTTCTCCGATCCACCCGAATTTATGATAACTCCTATGCCCAAGTTTGCTTTTTAAAATTAAATTATGTATATATTTATGTATTGTCTGAGAACACGAAAAAATGCAACTGATATTTAAAAAAAGAATAATAGCAAAAAATCCTACACAAAGAACTACTGTACACGTAAAGTGAAAGTGAACATGGAACAAAAAAAAATGGGTGTTTACTTCTTTCCAGTATAATAATGGGTTGGGACAAATGGCATTTTGACGACTTCAACTGGCGCCTGCTTGGCGCCGAAATCCACGATGAACTTGGTTCCTTCCTTTGAATGTGATTTGTCAACGTACGCGATGGCGATATTCTTGCCAAGCGTTGGTGAAGGGCATCCAGAAGTAACGAATCCGATTGCACATTTGTCAAGAGGATCGATGAGTGGAAGATGAGATCTTGGACATCTTCCTGGTTGGGCGAGAAGTCCCACTCGACGTTTTGGCCAACTCTTCTCCTTCAGTTGTTTCACAATCTTTTCAGCTCCAGGGAAATCGAGGGTTTCACGACGGCGCTTGGCTGGAGTATGATTTTTTGTAAACTTTCCACATATAGATTCAACTAACCAACTACAAAGGCAAGTCCAGCTTCGATTGGGGTAGTGTTCTCATCAATATCAGATCCATATAGACACAAACCAGCTTCTAGGCGAAGAGCATCACGAGCTCCCAGTCCTGCGAGCTTTACTTTACCAGCTTGAGAAGCGAGAAGACGGTCGACAAGCTGTTCAGCTTTCGTTGGATCAACAGAAATCTAGAAACGTTGCTTCAACATTTCATATATTTTTTCAGTTAACTCACTTCAACTCCATCCTCTCCGGTGTACCCACATCTTGTGACACGGCATCCATCAATTCCGAATACACTTCCAACGGTGGTTTTCATGAAAGTTAGTTTCGACAAATCGATATCCGTTCCTTCTTGAAGAACTTTAGCCATCTCTGGTCCCTGTACCGCAACAAGTCCTCGGTTATCAAGTGTTTCAATTTTCACATCTTTTCCTTTTGCTCTCCAAGCAGCTGCATTTTCTAGAAGATATGGAAGATCCTTGTCAATGCAACCTGCGTTTGTAACGAGGAAAAGGAAGTCTTTGTCGGTTTTCATAATAATCAAATCGTCTTTGATTCCTCCCTTTTCATTGGTGAATACCGAAAGTGTTCCGCTGTTTTCCTGAAGTCCTTGAACGTCGGCAGTGGTCAGACTTTCAATGAATGCTACTCTGAATCACTGAACGATTGTTGATCTTTCGATTCCGAAATCGATTACCTGTCTTTTCCAGTGATATGAGTTTGAAGCATATGAGAAACATCAAACAAACTGACGTGCTTTCTCGTATGAATCGTTGACTCTTTGATCGACAAGTCTCCGTACTGGGTTGGCATATCGTAGCCGGCAAATTCCACAAGTTTTCCACCATGCTTCTTATGAGTCTCAATTAAGCAGGTCTGCTTTCTGGAATTTTGTTTTTTTCTGAATTGAAGAACAGCCAAATATTTGAACGGCTTACCCTGAGACTTCAGTTGTTCTGGAGAAGCATCGTGTGGCTCTCAAAAGCACGGATCTTGACACCAATCGATTCATCGAGAAGGCCTGCAAACAAACAAAAAGGTTGTGAGTGCGACTGGACGCTTATCAGAATGCAAAAAAGACATTGACAGTCACGTTGTGAAGTGGTGATAAAATGCGAAACATAATCAAAACGCTGAGAAGAGAAAAAAACAGTAGATTTCCACTAATCGCGCCACTTTCGTTGTTTTTCGGTGAAAAGGTTCTTCTTCCATTGCGAAACTTTTTTTCAGATCCTTTTTTACAGTATTGAACAAAATTATTGAGTGTTTTTCCTTTTTATTGATTAGCTGGTAAATTTTTATTCCACCAAGTATTCAGCTTCAAAACGATAAAATTTGCAAAAAAATTATTAAAATAATTTCCAGGTGTAGATTTACGGTAAACAGCGCGAGATACCGGGATCTCGGAGCATCGTTGTCAAATAATAAAATCGTTGTTGAATAATTTTCGCGAATTCTTCGATTTTATATTGAAAAAGTAATGTATTTATATAGAGAAAAGTTCAGGTAGGCATTAATAGCTCAGTTTTCAAACGTACAGACAAAATAAAGCCATAGCATTGATAAAGTACGCCAGTTTGTAATGTGTTTAGATGCATTGTTTAGAGAGCATTGAATCATGAAAATGGTAAGCGTGCGTGAAAAGATAATTGTGTAGTAGTAGAGATTTCAAAATTCAGATACAATATTTCCAGCATTCAGTAGAGAGAGAGACCTGTTTCGAAAGGGTTGATGGTGCGTCGATAAGAACAGAGAAATGATTATGGTTCGGAAAGAGATTATAATGTCAATTAGAGGATTCTCTAGAGAATTTGTGCATTTTTGTATAGCTTTAGGCCTCATTTGAGAAGCGAATAGTGTCGTCATCAAAGCAATTATCTTGAAATATCAAGCGAACGAAAGGACGTTCAGTTGCCAAAAGTTGATAGCAGAATGGGCAAACAGGGTCGTAGCGACAGGTACCTTGAGGAAGTGGGATTCGCGACCAGTAGCTGAAAATTCACTTTTCAAAAGTTCCATTTTCATTGCAAAACTTACAGAACAGTTTGTTTACTAGCCATATGTCCACATGGATTGAAAGCATGATCTAGAACACCAGGGTCCAAATGGAACGATGGCTCCATTCCCATGGATAATTGTACTATTCGGTCTGATTCGACAAGACAAATCGGGCATTTTCCACCTCTTTGACCACTGTTCACATGAACTCCCCATTCATGTTTTCCCTGTACATGACCGCATTGAAGATACACCTAGAATCATTTTTCATGGAATCATTTCTGAATCTTATGCTGTGAACTCACATATGGTTGTCGTCTGTTCACCTGTCGCCCGTTCCTTTTCTTTGGGATAACTAGAGTATTCAAGTTGACTGGACACTGTGGTCTTCAGCGTTCAAACGATCTAACGCCATTTCCAATTCTCTCATTTTTGGAGATCTTTCCAGCCCATCAGCTGTTCTCCATAGAATTGTAGCACCGCATAAATCAATCAAAGTTCCATCTTGAAGCATGTTGGTCCATTCAGGAACATATACTCCTTTGGCAGAACTGCTCCTTGTGACACGTGGCTCGTAAACGTCTCCATTGATGGAAACTTCTCTCCATTTGTACATTGGTTTCTCGACAGTGTCGTCCAGAAGATCATCTTTATTTGGATGAAGGATGAGGACTCCATTTGTTGTCAATCCATCAACTTCTCCGCTTGGTTTGGTCCATTTTAATGATTTTTGCTGAAAATTAAAACATTATTTTCTCAAAAATCTAGAAAAAAACCAACATTAATAGAGATATTCTGATGACAATCAAAGCCAGCTGCATACAAAAATGCCTTGTTGGAATTCTCGCGATCAATGAGAATACGGCAAGCGAATCGACTGATCGTGGAAGTTCTGTCTCCTTTCTCGAGAAGTTCAATTTGTGGACGAGATGGTACTGCAGTCTCTGCTGGAATATGATTTTCGATTGATTTAACACCTCATTGTCTTTAAAGCTCACAATTCTCCGGATGGAACATCCACGTATCGATCACAGTGAAATCGATTTGATCATCAGATGCACGCCCAATCTGAAATTTAAGAAAAATAAATATATTGTCTATTCAAAATAATCGCGCGGATGAACGAGTAAAAAAACGTGTAGAGAGTCTCCAAACCTGTAGAGGCGCTGTAGAGACGCAGACATTTTTACTCGTTCACTCGCGCGATTATTTTGAATAGACAATACTGAAATTTAACGAAAATCAAGTACCTGAAACATATCCTTCGTTGAATCCGGTTCATATTCAACGACCACTGACTTATTATGATCACTGTGAAATGAAACTGTGTGGCGAGTTTTATCTTTGATGAGCTGCTTAAAATTTAGATTGATTCCAGTTATCCTAGTATCAAAAAACCTTATTGTCAGAAGATGTCGTTGTATGACTTGTCAACTTCTTAATTCCGTTTGCTACATCTCGCCGTTTTAGAACTTTTTTCGTCAGGTATCGTTTAGAAGTTGATCGGTTTTCAGCTTGACCGTTGAATCTTGAAGTTTTGAAAGTATGTACTGTAAATTTGAATTCTAATAACTCACCCTAGAAGAATGAGTTCTCCATAGATATCATCATCAAATAACGCCTCATTTGAGTATGCTGGTGGACTCGGTGTATCGTTATCCACTCCACTGTCCACCATTTCACTGGAAAAAATATAGATGATTCATTTGGAAAGAAGGAAACAAAAAATGACGAATCAAAAAGAAAAAGAAGTGAGCTAGAACAGAATGAAGCTGAAAACGGAAAAGAAATTGTTGGTTTCAACTGCGAGATTTGTTGCCAATGGAAACCGGAGAGGCTCCAGAGAGAAGTCGTTTTTTTTCTTTTCGTTTTGTTTTTTGTTCTAAGAAAATTTCGAGTTCCGATGTTTTGTGTGGTTTCCATGGACTTTCAACAAAAAAATGAATCACCAAACATGAAAATATATTAATTCTGTTTTTTTGTTGACATATTCAGAGTCATCTCGAAAAGTTTTAATGTGAATTTTATTATAAAATCTTAAGCTTCAAATGAAATTCAATTTTTTCTTTGATAATGGTGTCTTGTTTTAATTAAAACCAAGCCACCTGGTTGTCACTGGACAGGAGCAATCCCAAAAAAAAAACTAAATGAACCATCATAAAATCACCAACTTATTCGTGGTTTGAAGATTTTGATACCTCTCACAGAAAATTTAGAAAATTGAGCTCAAAGTGCAAGGCTAGAACGGGCTTATATTACAGTTTCTACGATATATGGCGCCCTTCAAAGCCGGGTGACCAGCGCCGTACTAACACAATATATAAACGAGTTTATGAATAGCCAGGAGACGAAAGAAAAAGTGGAAGGAAGAGGAAAAAGAAGGAAGAGGAATAGATGAAGGGGAAATTGTGTAGAGTGACTGACATTCCGACTGGATTGGATTCCTCTCTTTTACTTTTCAATACATTTCAGTTTCAGGGAAATGCGCTCCAATGAAGTCCTGCTGGACCAAAAGAGAAACAAATTGAGTGAAGAAGGATGTTGATCCGTGTATTAATTTGAAATTGAGTTTTGAGCACGAGTTTTGAGCACGATTTGAGCACGAGCAGGTGGTTCTAGGGCTACGGTAGATTATAAAATTAAGAGAAATGGCTATAATATGTAAGAGGAAATAGGAGTATCGCTAGATAAAGGATAATTTTTTCTGGATTACTGTAAATTTTGAAAATAAAACTTTGTGCATTTTTTAATGATTATAATTCATAAACCTGATATTTCCCCAATATAAAAAAGAAGAAAATATAATTGATGTTCATCTCAAAAAAAATCATTTGGATGATTCCGGCTGAACAATCAAACTGAATTGTGCAAAGCTCATGCTCACGGAAGTCACAAAATTGAAATCTCGCGACTTTCAGTTTTGATTTTTGAACAGAAACAAGTCATATGAGTTTACCTCACTATCAATTATTTTAGATCAGTAAAGAGCAAAGAGCTTGTGATAACAAATGACCAGGCGGGAGAACATTTAGAAAATAATAAAAAGTGTGAGAAGAAGAGGGAAATAAAAACTTGGAGGAGATATTGGAGGTGCTAGTAGTTGTGCCAGGTGGCCCATGACTATTAATTTATCGATGAGAAAAAGAAAAAGAAAAAGATGAGTGCTCGAACACAGGACACTGGACACCCCGAGGGCAATAAGAGGACACTACTGGGAGAGGTGACACACATACCACGTACACAAGGTGAGAAGAAACAGTGGAGAGATAGAGAGTGGAAGAGGAATATAGAAAGAAAGGAAAAACGGACAGTGTCTGACCGACAGGACAGGAAGAAGAAGGCCATTTACGTATGTCTGTTTGAGAGTGTCTGTCAGGACTGTCGAAATGAATAGAAGATTAATAGTAGCAGATGTTTAGACGGTGTGTTTTTTAATGAGAAAAAGAACTAGAAGTCGAAATTTTGACACAAAAATATTTTTGATTTTTTTGGACTGTCTCATGTTTCTCCTATGAGAAGACATTTTTTTAATAAACAATGTGTTCAGAATATGAAAAGTTTTGAAAGTGAGCAGGATTATTCAGAGGCCGTATTCATGAAATTTACTTTTGTAAATCATTTACTCTCAAAAAATCAACTGAATCATTTACCAAAAGGTAAATGGAAGCGTGAAAATGTACTGAAAATCGTTTTCCTATTTAAAAATAGTTTTCCTGTTTTTTAGATAGGAAAACGACTTTGAAATAGATTTTCTCAATTACTATAAACTGAAAGATGCTCATTTTTTGACAATTTACTTTAAATTCAATGCTCTATTCATTCATGTCATTTGTAACCAAAGTCATAATTTTCGAGCTGAACCGAAACGAATTATCTGTTTAAAGTTAGATAATATTGATGTTACAATACTATTCTTTCCATACATAACTTTTTTGGAATGAAAAGTTTCCAAAAAGTGGTTGTAAACAGCAAACGAAATTGGTACCCCTATTTACCAAAAAGAGGAGTATTTACCAAAAAGGAAATGATTTTCCTTTAATTTTCACGTTTTTCAGTTGATTTTTCGAGAGTAAATGATTTATTTTTTCCTTTTTTTCTCGTAACCTGTCAAAGATCTAAAAAAGTAGCCAGCTGATAAATTGTTTATCATGGTATCAGAAATTTTTTGTCAGTTGGCTCATTGTGTATATCTTGCATAGGAGTTGAGATAATTGAGCTCAAACTTGACAACTTGGGGCCCTTCTATTACAGGTTTTACAATAGATGCAAACCTCGAAAACAGAACATTTGCAAGCCAGATTGAACCATACCCATCGAACTAGAAAACCAAAACCTGACTAGTTGAAATATTCTACTGCTCTTAGAAAAAATCACATGATCCCAGCCCACTCAATATGCTTATTATTCAGAAATGCTGAAACTAAAAGTTTACACCCCAACGAGCCTGACAAACAAGATTTCGATTTTTTTTCGTGACTAAACACAAAATTCAGATAACGTGCTCTGTGACGTACATCTGTAATGTTTTTTGTTCTTCAAGCTACAACACTTTCACCAACCATACAACATTCAATTGTTCAGAAATGCTCAACTGGACGAGAGACCAGGTTTACTATTCTATTAGCACAAGTTGAGGACACACATCCGTTTTCAATTCAGGACAGGAAGGCACGGGATACTTTTTAGCTAATTGAACTTTCCGTGTCCTTTTTCTTTTCAATTGGTGCACTTTTTGTCGGCTCATGCTCACGAAGAGAAATCAATCTTTCAAAGAGGGTCCACCTTTGGGTTTAGAAAACTTTTGCTTTCAGGGGAATCGTTGGAATCCTACCTAATGGTAAAGTAGATACTATTTCTTTTAACATGTAAAACCTTATTGAAAAAAACATTCCATTTTTTTATTCATAAGAACCAATAGGGAATCGTCATAGGGACAATTCCTATGCAAGATATCAAAAATGTATCAACAGGAAAGACACTTCTGATATTATGATAAACAGTTTATCAGTTGACACATTTTTGATATCTTTCACAGGAATCGAGATTATTGAATTCAAAGTTGACGGTTTGGGTGGGCTTCTATTCGAAGAAATACGGTATGTGTTCAACTTTGGAAGGTATTAAATTGGAAATATGCAGCTGACAAATTCTCATAGACACTTCAAAAAAAGATACATAGACATAGAGTCTTAGACTAAGTGCTCTCACTCGGCGAGCACAAAGACACGGGTGGACCGCTTTGCAACGCGCCGCGCAAAAGCACGCGGAACAAGACTTTTCTCGTTTAGTACAAAATCTTGCGCGCCTTCTCTGTCCCTGTCCCGTTGTTGAATGTGAACACAACATAAATAACAAACAAAACGGCGCGGAGCCCTGGCACCAATGGTCCCAGTAATTGTTGGGTACGAATGTGGGAAAAAGGAGAAGAAGAAGAAGAAGTAGAAGGAGGAGGAGGAGGAGGAGGAGGAAAACCTTATTTTTTGAAAGCTATTTTTGGTAAGAACTTTTTTCTTCAATAGACTATACAGATTCTTAATAACGATCGCGTATTTATTTCGAATTTCTAACAAGGAAGTCTTCAAATATTCAGTTTTGATCATGAAGTAGACAGGTGCATTATCGATATTTTCGACCTCTGGGATTTTCATATTCTAAGAAAAAGCTAACTGTCTAGCTGGGCTAGTTTAATGAGGATAGAAGAAATAATGAAAGGTTTGAGCTCGGAAAACAGAAAATTGATTAAAACTTAGCAGGGATTTTCCAATATCTTCTCAAATATTGCGTTCTTCATCTAAAAGAGAGCTTTCTGAAAATCATCATCACGAGTTTGGTGTTTACCCCTGACGTGTCTAATCCCTGATATTTTGGACATGAGAGGAGGATGATGACGACGGAAGAAGGAGGATCCGTTTTTGAAAAAATTGATGGACTTTGAGGTCAAATGTGATTTGAATACATGCATCATACCATGTGGTTTTCTTATTAAGATGGAACGGATGTTCATCTTTAATTGGAAGAAACTAATTTTAGTGGAACGAAATTGGATTTTAGTCAATCATATAGTACTGTAATATGTGAGATTCGAAGTTTGCTTCAAATCATTCAAATTATGTCAATACATAATTACAACTACCGTGAAACCTGTAACAAAAGGGTACCCACTGTCAAGGTTGAGCTAACTATTCTTGGCTCCTAGGCAAGGTATCAAAAAAGTGTATACTGATGAAATGTTTCTAATATTTTGATAAGCAATTTATCAGTTAGCAACTCTTTTATAACTTTGACAGAAACCGAAATAAATTTTCTCGAAGTTAAAAGTTATGGAGCTCTTTTATTACAGGTCACAAACAAGATAAGCAAACGCATTTTACGAAAAAAATTCTGAATAAATTTTAAACTGGATATCCATTTTAGTGACCAACTAACAAGAAAGTTATTTTTATTCCTGTAAACCTGAATTTGTGAAATATTTTCAGATTGTGCTCATGAGCACGTCACTGGAGCAGTGTGCTCGTTAGAAAAGTGGACAACAGAGAGCAGAAGTTCCTTGAAGTGAATGTGAGAGCTATGTGATGTGTGAGATGGTGATAAATAATTGATAATGGGATAGTGGTACGAGTTGTTGGGTGACAAAAACCGAGTGTATTTGATGCTGGAGAGGAGAAACTATGTGCCCCAACTGACACTCCAGAAATAAAATTCCTATGAAAAATGGGAAAAGGAAAAAGAGATTTGAATGGGGGAAAGAAAAATGAAAAAAAAGAGACATGGGACATGGAAAGGAGAAAAAGAAAGACAGAAGATAGACTAAATCTGTGGAGCATATAAGCATAGGAATTCGTGAGAGATACTTTAAAACACGGAGACGAAAAACTTCTTGTTGCCTTGATGGCTGACCAGTCAAAAATAATTGGAGAAGGGAAACAAGCGTTCGTATATCAGAAATTTAGATATCACAAGGAAGTTGCCGTCTCCTGTGATCTGAAAATCTGAGATCTGAGCTCTGAAATTTTCTAAACAATATATAATTTTGTGTCTACGATATAGTGTTTTTCTCAAAAATAAAACGACATTTCTTATTTTTCTTTTGTCAAAAATTTTTTTTTGAAAAATGAAGAATGAGAAACTGGAGAGGAGTGAGCATTGAAGTTTATTTGTTCAAGAGTCCCTCTCCTTCTGCTTTTCCACTTGGTATTACAATTTTTGGTAGGCAAGAAAAGGAGAGGGCACGACATGGAGACGTAGAAGATAAAATATACATGAGTCAGGAATCGGATTGTGTGTTTTTTTGTTATTTTGTGCAAAATTTACGTTTTGAGTTTGACATCGAACAGAGTAGAACAATAAACAGACTGATAAGGAACGGTGGAAAGAGTTGGCATACACAAGACCCAAGTGATTGTAGTGAAGTAAAAAAGGAAGATAAATGTGTTTTACATTTTATGAACTAAAATAATTATTGTTTCGAAAATTTCAAAAACTAGAAGGGCGTAAGCCGCCAACAATCTGCCATGGCAACAAGATAGATTTATAATGGTTCCAATTTTGTAGCAAGAAGAATCCTTCAACATTTGTGAAGTCTGCTACAGTAATCCAATTGAATGCGAATTCTATTGAGAATTCTAAAAAGCGTTACAAGTACGAGTTTAATGAATATAGGTTTGAAAACAACAGATCCGACTTATCCAGAGAAATCAAAGTACGTCCTCCAACGTTTTCAAAGTGATTGGATCAAACGGTAGTGTAGGTTAGAGACGCAGATGACGAGATACTCTATCTGTCGGCGTCTCTTTGAAAGTTTCTGAAGTTTAGAACTCCTAATGGCTGTATCTCGGCTCCGTTTGAAGTTTTAAAGGAATTTGGAAGATCGGGAATTTTTGCGAATTTCTATTTTTTTCTGGCATGTTTAACTTTTTGAAGGGGGTCTCCGACTAAACAACTTATTATTTTTAAAATACATCAAATTATGTACAAAACATGTAGATTCTCACATAGCAGCAAACATTCAAAAAAGATTGTAAAACCTCGGTAGTACCAGGGATGAGAACTCGGAAAATATATGTCAAAACCGGTTTTTTTTTTTTTGAAAAATCTTGAAGTGTTGTGAAGAACTAGACCATTTCAAAACTTTTTTTCTAAAAAAAGTTGGATTCTGAACTACGAATTAGAGCCAGAAAACGAGTTCTCATTTGTAGCGGTTCTCATTTTCCGAGTTCTCTTCCTGGTACCGCCAAAACCTCGAAAATCGCTTCGAAAACTTTTTCGTGATTTTTCGAAGGAAAAATGTATGTTTTCTATGATTTTTTTGCAAAATTTTTAGACTTTTGAAGATTCTTTTTCAATTTTTCCGAAATTTTCGTCTGAATTTTGATGGGCTCGTGTTCGCGAAGGTTACTGTAGATTACTGTAGAAAGCCTTCCATTTTGTAGTTTTTTTTTTACAAACACAATCACGGAAAAATGCATATAAAACTGATTTTGTCTGAATTTTGGCGTGTTTGTGATTGCGAGAAAAAACTATAAAAGAAAATTAGCTTTTTACAGTAATCTACAGTAATCTTAGCGAACATTATCCTGTCGAATTTCAGACAAAAAAACACAGAAAAATCGGAAAATAATCTTCAGAAATACCGTAAAACCTCTAATAGAACGACACCCGGATCGTCCACTTTGAGCCTATATATCTCATTTTCTGTGAAAGATATCAAAAAGTGGTTAACGAGTAAAATGTTGCTG